AATAGAAAATTAGCATTTCTTGTTTTTACCTTTCAGCTTTGGAGAAATACCAAATGTATGTGGAACGAGGAAGGTAGGGCAGCGGAGAGAACAGTTTTGATGGCGCTTGTTCGTGGTATTTGGGAGGATGCTAAAGACTATAAGGAAGAACAAAAGGAACGATACGTTCCTTAAAATGAGACGATCTTCGGATGAGTTACAAATAAGTAAATGACCGCAAGGTCTTTGGCCGCTTCGGGCCCTGACCTACTAACTTCGCGAGGTCAATGATCTGCCATTCTAGTTTCGCAGTTCCCATACACACACAAGTATGCATGTATGTAACACATACACACATCGAGATGTATTCTTCCGAAGGAAAGATAATTCCGCGAAGTCGCAATTATTTAGCAACCTATGACTTTCTTGTTAACTGCTTTTAATTTTCGGGATTTGGATGCTCCAAATTTGCATAGTCTGCCTGAAACCATATAACATAGAGCAAAAATTTGTCCATTCATTCATGAGCCCATTGTAAAGGAATGTGCTTTGCATTGAAACAAAAGTCAAACTCGTCCGAAATTTCAGTAAAAATCGTTTTTGTAATCCTCCAACATCCAATTTGGAAGTGGTCTTGATGGAGTCGCGTTATGTCTGTTAAGACCTTGTTGGTTCTCATGAATCGAAATACGGAATATTCGTACAGTTCAATGTGTTCGTTTGCACTCACATTGACTATTTTAGCGAACTCTGTTCGAGTAATTTGTACATGTGTGTGCAATTACACGTGTGCAAATACTCGGTATGTATGAAAATGGCAACGCGAACGGTGGGACAGTGCTATGAGAAAGCTAAACCTCTCGAAGATATTACTTCCTATGAATCTCTCGTGGACCAAAGAGATTGTTCCAGAATGCCGCGTTCTGTCGTTGTATATTAAGGTTTTACCTGACCGGTTTATATCTACATACGTTTGTATGTATGTAATGCCTACATGGGTATACCATCACACTAAACACGCCTCCAGATTACATGTAGAGACAGAAATGATACCATACTATATGATTTATATTTTTCACAATCACCTACTTATGAAACTGATAAATACGTACAACAATATTACATTACATTCCTTTTTACTTATAACTTTTATAAAAATACAAATTCTATGACACTGATGAAACTTTTAAGTAACAACCATAACAACCTTCTTCAGGTATAGTGCTATACATTACTCATACCATCGTAAATAGGATGCTAGACTCAATGGATCTCTACCATACTCATCGATTAATTTCGGGAGTACTTCCAGGTTCTCTCCTTGCTTCTATCTTATTTATCATTTTTATAAGAATTTTGTTGACTCCAGTTTGTGAAAACTTTACTCTGTCGATGTGAAACTATTCAATAGAGTAAGAAGTACCTCTGATATGGTACGTATATTGATACTTAGTCTTTAATAAGGAGTATCAAAGTCTTTATTCTTTTCTTTTGAGAGTTACATTTTGAATATAATTGGTAAAGTATACAGAATTCTAGGTTTTAGTCATAGGTCATTTGCTTAGTTTAATAGTTTAGTTTTGCAAATTTTGATGTATGGTTCCATAATTTGGTCTTTTTGAGTGTCTATCGTATGGACTTGAAATAAAATGTTGCGTATGCCTAGGTTTTTATATGCTTCCTTTTATTATGTCTAGGTTGAAACGAAAATTTAGCCTCATTTTTTTGTATTCTTCTAGATTGTACCAGGATGTTGGATTTGTTTTGAAAGTTAAAAAAACAGTAATTCTCATCTTATTGTTAGCTTCTTTGAGAACAAAAAGCCGTAGCACATTTTGAGACACTCCAGTACAGGAATTTTCTGCTTTATTGACTTTTAAATTACTGTCTCTCACATCGCCTAGTCTGCTACCCCTTTATTCATTCATTAATAATTTCGTCTCATTCTTTTGCATACGTGTTGCTTCTTTGCAATATGACAAGCGGGCAAGCGTCCTCTCTCTTGCATCACATAGTCTACAGACCCAAATCTTCTTATATACTTTATTTTTTGCAAAACTGTTTATGTGGATACTTTTTCTATTTAGCACCTGTGTGAATTTGGAACCCGAATTAATAATAACAATAACATTAAAATGCGCTCGTACATGACAAACGGCATATAAGTCGAAGCGATGGATTTTTTTGTAGTTAATAGAAATAAATTTTATTTTCTCCTACAAACGACGCGGATGATCGTAGCGAAGTTTTTTTATTATGTGAGCACCACTTACGGATTCCTGAAATATGATAATTTTAGTAAAACTTCGGAGTATGTTCAGAATCGTTTGTAGTTTATTGAAGAAGCAAAACTCTTTTTCTGCAATTTCTTTAATTGCCTTAGCCTATTAATCCTCAGTATGTCGATAAAAGTTTCTACCTCTCCCCTTCTTTTCCATACACCTTAACAAACTTTCATCGCTTCTATCTCCTATCCCATACACTCTTTTGACGGCTTATTGCTCTCATTTCTTCCAGTAAACATTTTTTTGGCACGTATAATATTCATTATATCTAACTATTTAACACATTCTTAAAGTATTTACAAGCTCTCTCTCTTGTGAATTTAATGATTATCACGCCTTATCAGTTCATTTCTCTAAATACTTATACCTTGGTATATTTCTTGTCACTCTTAACGCCATTTTATAATACAAATCTTGCTTAAACTTTGCCCAAACTTCTTCCAACCCCACACTTCGACGCCATACAAAGCTTAACTTGTCTATTATTATTAACTGATATTATAATTTTCTTCTAAGATTGAATTAACATTATTAAACCTTGTTCACAAAGATGTGGAGTCTGTAGCTTGGCGTTTACTCATGTATGTATGTATCTACTGTTTTACTAGAATTAGTGTGACTCGAAATAGTGATTAAAAATATGTTTCAAATGAATTACTTCTATAAATAAGCCTTTTTCTGATCCAATAAAAATAATTTTATCTGATGATAATATTGCTAAAATCATTAACGCATTAGCGAGAAAGCAGGCGAGGAAAGTTGAGAAAAAGCACGGAATTCAGCCAGTTAACTGTTGTGTGCAAGGGAAAGTGCTACTTTCCATAATTGTCACAGAACAAACACCAAGTAAAAGAACGTTAGCAAAGGTAAGGGAATAGAGATAAATGTCAATTAGGTATTCAACAAACATGTACGTATACCTACGCATGTACGGGTACCTTTGTATCTATATATGTACGCACTTGTATACGCGTGTATTTTCAGTGGGTGCTTAGAAAGTGACAGCAGTAAAACCTTACTTTTCTTATTAGGACATAAAAATGAGATTATATGTATTATATAAAGTAGTAGGGCTCGGAGTTGTATTCGATTATTGTTTAAATCTTCAAATATTTGTTTATCCATACTTCAAATTCCTTGAAAATAATATATCTGAAATTTAAATGTTCAGATATTGAAACATTTGAATATTAAACGTTTCAAATATCTGGATATTCAAACACCTATTTAAACGTAAGGTTAAGATTTTGTGGTTCAAATATTTATATACTTGGCTAAATTACCTTATTAAATGTTTATATATAGTTCTTGTCTTCGAACAGAAATTAATGCAATATCACAATTTTTTTATTTTTGAGTATTCAAATCATTAATCATTATACATTTCAAATTTTAGAAATTCAAATATTTAAATATACAAATACATATTCGTTTGAACATTTGGATATTCAAATGTTTGATTTATTGGATATTTAATTTTTCAAATGCTTGACTATTTACAAATATACTCAAATTAAATAAATATTTGAACACAAATATAATAATTCGAACTACTAATATTACGAAGCTCTAATCCAAACCAGACATAGATCTCGGATAAGATAATTTTTGATGGTAAAAGTAGTAGTACCTATGATTCTTCCAGAAAAACTATCGTTAATCGAAATACAATTCACCTATGTTACTATTAATATAGTTTTGCGTTTATACATCAGTGTATTCCTTTTAATTAATTTATAACATATATTTTCAGAGAACAACGCACCTATATATGTATGAATGTAGATTAAGCTTAAAGCAGTTACATAACTTGGATTTTAAAAAATTGTTGGTATAAGAATGTCCTGTTATAATAATTTTTTGTTTTTAATTGTGCTTTAGTCAAATATTTACATAAGAATACATGCATATTTATATATACAAATACACGCAAAGAATTTTTAACTAATTAATTCATTCGCTAATGTTTAAGGTGTTATTTATTATTTTACAATCACTATAGTAGTATATTTGTTAGCATATAGTAACATTTTTACACATTTATCAACGATTTTGTAAAAATTAAAATAGTAATGGTAAAATTAAGCCTACCGGACGTGTGTTATAGGTAGGTACTTCTCCATCAAAACGAATCAAGGTTTCGTCATTTTGAGTTTAACTGTATAATTTCTTTTCCGTAATTTTTTAATTTGTAAAATTTTCATTGTCATTTTACGTGTATAGGTATTATTAATTACGACAAACGGTAGTTAATTTACATGACCTTAACCATGAATCAGGGAAAAATAAGGAAACTACTGCATTGAATATCATTAAAAAGCCGGTAGAAATTATGTGGGTGGCACCGTGAGTCAATGTGAGAAAATCCTACTAGAAACTGCAAATTACTGCAATTTGTTAATTTTTACAGTCTCTTAGAGGGCTTTTTTATTAATCATGTAGTTTTAAGCCGCATCTTGATCGCAAATTATGAATAATCACAAAAAACCTAATAAAATGTGTATTCATATCAGCAAAATACTGCTTAAAATTAATTTAAAATTTTATTCAGTGGAAAGTATCATGCATAGGCACTTAGAGAAATAAATCACAATCTTTTAGTAAGGATTTCACTGTTTATACATCCAAAATCAATACATTCGATCTATAACAATAAACCTTTAACTACTTCTCATTAAACATTATCGTTGAGTAAAATGAACGTTTATTTTCCGAAACATTGACATAAAACAGTATGAAAACATACAGAAATGTGTCAGGTTAGCGAATTTTGTTTTAGATACGGAAAAACAATATGCGACAAGGTTGTGTCCTATCTGCTCATGATGCTGCTATCAGTGGACCACAGTGGCTAGTGGACATGCAGCATAGTTCCATCCGGAGACGTCGGAGGATCCGCGGCAACTCCGGCCCAGCCAGGACGACAACAAATTCGCGAAAGGGTTCACTGGCAGCGTGAGTGGGTCATGGCTGGCGTCCCGGCGGCCGCCCCCACCACCAATACGCTCCAATCGACTGCGCGCATTTAAAACAAGCCTCAGATCCGCAGCCTGACTATTCTCTGACGTTTCGTGCGCGCGTGCACCAGTTCCGCACTACGATTTGCCGCATCTAAACGTATTATTTTGTAGACAGATCGTCGATTATTTTTTCGCTTAAAAATCACATATTGTCAATTAATCGGACTTTCGGGCCTTGAACTATTGATTTTGTTATTGAATTATCTTATCATCATAAAAATGAACGGGGGAAAGCAACTGGACCCTACCGGCTTGTATTAAAAATATCAAACACCGATAAAATTTTTGTGGTTTTCTTATAAAGAAGACACGAAAAATGCCAGCCAACAACGGAGGAAAGGGGCTGGACCCGACGGGGCTCTACTGAGATGTGGCATCGCGACGATTGCGGCGGCGACGACCGCTGTTTCCATCTTCGTACTACGAAGGGGAGATTCCGGTAAGTTTTGAATTGTTATTGTTTTCGTAGTATTTGTAAGAAAATTAGCATCAAAAGTCGAAGCAGCATCAGCCAAAGCGCACTTCTTATAGTAATATGGTTAGTACACTTCCGCATATTCTTCTCGCGAGCGTACGTACGTACGTACGGTTGTTGACCGCGGTTTGGTGAAACCCATGACGCCCACTTCCACGGTGTGGCCGCCTCTGCATGCAGCATGACATATTGCACATGAGTTCACGGTGGGCCCAAACAAACTAAAACTAATTTTTCTTTTTCTATATTTAAAATACCTTTATATATGAGCATTTGACGACTTCTTGCGTGCCAAAAGTGTCTTTTCATTTGGACTTATTTAGGAATATTAGATCCCGATGAAAGGACAGCAAATACATGTAGGTACCTAAACTTTTCGTTCCTAAACAAAATTTTGTTTCTATTGTTAGGTAATATTAATGGGTAACTGGTCTTTATTTAAATTCAAATTTTTGAATGTGTGTGCGAAAAAAAAAAAAAAACGATTAATTTATTTGCTTTTGTGCAACCGGTTCCTTATTTTAAATAACCATAAATTTGAATTTTAAACTATGTGAACACGTCTAGGTAACCTTAACAGCGCCAAAAATTAAAATACAGGTTTGGCCAATTTTTGTCACTTTAAACAAAATGTAATGGTAACCTACTTTTTCGAGCCCAGGCTGCATCGTCCTTGCGCAAAATTAAAATAAAACCAATGTTTAATCTTCAAAAAAGCTTCAGAATTCATATTCAAAAATTCGCTAGCCATTTTTGCTTCAATGTCATGCACGTTTATGCTTGGCAATTAAAGAAAGAGAAGTTTGCGGTTTCAGTTTTATTTATTACATTTTCGAAGGGTCTTTTAATCAATAATTAATCAAATTTATTTGTTATTAATAGGTACCTACCTATTAGCCTTCTTTAAAAAATATAAAGCTGAACATGGATTTTGTATGGTAGTACCAAAGTATTAAATATATATTATGTTTAAAACCAAAATAAACTTCAAATGTTTCATAGGATTCCTTGTTTATAAGTCTTATTAGATAAGATACAGTGCAGGTACCTAGAGCATGTAGGGTAGAAGTTTGGATGTTACCATTTGATAGGACTGAAACTTATTAGATTGCCTTCTCATTTTTAATTTTAATCGAGTGGATGCTGAGGTTAAATGAGAGCGTATCTATGCCCCGAACGATCAGCCGATTAGTAAACTTTTGCTTTTTAACTCATCCTCAGTTCAGATGCTGATGTTTGACGACATGCCAACTTCAACAAACGTAAAATATCGTGATGTATGAAGTACACGTTTAACATATGTACACGTTGAGAAGGCACCAAAACACAGCTCGTCTGTTGCCTTGTTTTTATTGTAGGTATCAAAGATCATTGACACCGCGCGCCGGGCTCCTTGGCTCACAACTCCTCGGCCGTTTGTTCTTATCTCTTCTAATAACACTCGGGATAAACGATTTGTAAAGAAAGAAAAGCGCGCAATCGATTCGACCCAACCGCCCATCTTCCTACGCTAATTCGCCTAAATCATCTTTATTTGTCATTTCGCTTTTCATTCTCGTCGTCATCCGGGATTCCGACACAACCTCAGTTAACCCACAGACACAAAACCCTTCCTGCTGCTTTTACATCCATAATATCACCGCTGCTACCACATGAATGACATGGCTTAATTCCGAGTACGTTGACCGGACATTCGGAAGAGTTCAACTGCGGTTCAACCTATTAAAACTGGATAATCTTGCAGTCATAACTTTGACGTCGATTTTACGCACATACTGCGCCGTCGTTCACTTCAATGTTGCATCGAGATAAATGCATTTTCTAATCACGTGAAGTACTTTAATAGGCTTCCTGTATACATAATCTCGCTCCTTTGTGCTACCGAGAGGAGCTACGTCCTGGAAATTTCATGATTCATCGTCTCACCGCGAGCACGCGAAAAAAACACCTTTACCTACCTATCCCATTGTGCAAATCGGTTTTTAATTGCAAGTATCAAACAAGAAATTTCTGAATCTTTAGCAAAGTCGCATTCAAACAATGAACTTTATTCCATCATTTAAGCAAACGTCATTACTCTCATCGTCAGTGCATCATATGACAACGATTTTACTTTTAATTTCTAGTTTACGAGTCTCATTTCTCTTTTTTAAGAATAATGGGAAATAATCAGCAATTTGTTAATCAAGTCGTTTCTGTGCCCGCGGGCGGTTAATTTGGAAGAAGATTGTTGAAGGTGTGTTTGGAGTGAGGTGCTATACGGGTGCGAAAAGGTTAGAAGCGTTCGAAATATGGTGTTTAAGTCAAATGATTCGGATGCTGTTGATATATGTTAAAAATGAGAAGGTATTAGAATGAGTAGAACAGAGGGCCCTTTAAAAATCAATAAGAAATATGCCAGATTAGTCAGAGACGTATTAGAAGCAGCAACAGGAGTTAATAGGAGTAGAGGTGGATTTAGGGTAGATTATTGTTCACAAATAGTTAAGGATGTGGGATATTTTACCTTTAGGGAAAGAGTTGGGTGCGTGTCCGACCAGTCTTACGACCAATGACCTTATGATGATAAGTTAATTAGAAACAATAAATCCACAAACTTCTCATTAATAATAAAATAACTCAACCGCCTTCAATATTCCCTTAAATTTAAAAAGTTTTTCAAAGATTAGAAAACAATTATTCTCTTTATATTTTTTAAATATTTGTATTAATTATAAAATAATAAAACGCCGCTTAGTTGCATTCTCGGTTACGTATACCTCGAGGTGATATAGACACCACATTAGTTGCGATATCTTTTCGTTAATTATCCACTTGATTAGAGTCAATAATAGCTATTTAATCGTTTAACCCAAAGGGTAACGACTATAAATACAGAAGCAAAATAGATAATAGCAGGTTTTGTCCGCGTCATTTTTTATGAACGCGCTCTCGGGAATCGATTTGCCTTGTTTATCTTGCAATTAATGTGGAATGGTATTTATTAATGCAACGCTAAATAAGGCGCTCTTGATAATCAACTCGAAATCGTAATGAATGCCATAAAAATATTCCTTATTTTTATTAAACGATGCATTTATGTAGGTAATGTTTAAAACTCCGGGTTTCTAAATTTCCAGTAAAACGAACCAAATTTTTATTTCTACTAAATTTAGAATAATTACGCTTTAAGCATTAATGGGAATTTCCACTCGTTTACTGTCGTAGTTCGGAAGTTGAAGTTTCCTTTAAAAACATGTCGGTGGCTAACTAAAAAACCTTTAATTTTTTTTCAATTGGAAATAAAATTAAAGTTCAGATAAATGGTTTTAGATTTTAGAGATTCTTATTATTAACAGCTTAATTGGTCACATAAGATACTAATTGGACTAAAATACAGTGTAAACTCTATATAACGACACTTAAACACATTTTGCACACGAACATTATTATTCATACATTGCGTATAGCCTGTTATCTTCGTCTGATGTTTTTTGCTGCTCCAATATTTTAATTGTATTTTGTTACGTATCTTACTCATATCTTGAGATACTGCTGGATCAATTTGATTATATAAAAAGTATTTTTTTAATAGTTTCGCTGCATCAAGTGCTTGTTTGATGCTTGGTGGAGGGACAGGATCGTCTTCTTCAACAACGTACACAGCTGCAGTTCTTATCTATTTCGGCAACTTAGAAAGTACTGCTTAATGATTTATAATGCCGCATTGTTGTCGTTAAATAGAGTGAGCGTGACGCTATATAGAGTGTAATATTGTATAGAAAACAATGTAAACAAACTAAAGTCAAGCAATTTCGACGTTTTAAGGAGTTTGTCGTTAAATGGAGTGACGTTATAAAGAGTTTACACTGTATATCTATCTACTTAGTACAAAGTGTTTTATTAGAAAATTCTAATTTAATATTTGTGGACAGTACATTTTACAATTAGTAGATTTGCTACGATTTTGAAGTAGGTACAAATTATTATCAGAATAAAAGGGGTGATTGTCGGAAAAAAGGCAACAACTTCTCGAAAGGTGTAGTAATGGCAATAACTATAATTCCTACGGCGTGACTTTCATGTACATCTTCGCGTTCTTGACATTTTTACGAAATTATTACCATCAAAATCAATTTCTCACATCGGCATCGGCGAAGTGCCCTTCGAACTAATCTAAATATCTCGCGCGTCCCTCCTGTCTGTTCGTCCTCTGTGTATAGTAGCAGCTAATTACGGTTACGCAAAAAAGGAACTGCAGTGGAGGCATAAGCGCATTTTTTGTCATGTTATTATAGAATCATATGTAGATATAATGCCGACTAGTGACATTTAAGATATAGTAGAAAACTATAAGGTCAAGACTAGATAGACGCCTGCCTAGGCCAATAATGTATTCATAACACCGGTTTAGGGTTAGTGAGAGCACGTCTTTATCGCATTAAAAGCTACTATGCATACACACGCATAATCGCGAGGTCGTACTGTTCGTATACAAATACACACAAACATGCGCACGCTTGTAATTGAATTACAATCAGTTAAATTTGCACTTGATTTAACTAACTCAGTAGCGTCTCGGTAATCCAAAATTTATTTGATTCACGTGTACTACCTTGATTTTGCTTACATCATTATGCAAACATTAACTAATAAAAAACACAGACAAAATTTAAAATGTTAAAAAATGTTAATGCTTGCAAAATAAAACGATCATTTTTTTCAGATGCAATTTTTATTAACATTACAGATTAGACCAATTTTTAGTTACAGTTAGATCGTAAGTGCATTTGGTGTAATTAATGGTTCGTGTCTTTGTGGGATTTCCAATTGATACCACCCTTACTAATTTCCTAATTAAACCCCGTTCAAAAAGTTGTTAAAATACTGAACTAATGCAATTTTAATTCTTGGTTGGCCGATTTCCAACGAGAGGATCGACTTGAAACCGTTGAAACGAGAGCTTCATGTTCATAAATACTAAATCATACTAATAAGTTATCATTAATCAAAATCTGATATACCAAAAACAGTTCGGCCTTCCTGTTCAAGAATTATATCGAGAAAACAAATAATATAAAATAGATTAGTAATCAATAATTTAAATTTTTAATTATTATTGTGTGAATTAGCTTTTTCTCTGGTAGAATTTCCTTTCACTGCCTTGTATCTAGTGTTATTATCCGGCACCCGGCCGGATCCTAAAAAGTGCGCCGGATTCGCTGGGTGCAGATCCAAACCGGGGTTACGCGGCTTATTTCAAATACAAACGTAGCATCGATAATATAATCAATCTGTCGTTTAACTGAAGAGAGATAGGTAGTCGTATTCTTTGATCTCGGTATGCCTCGAAATTGTTTCCTTATTGCACTTTTCAAGGACACCATTCTAAACCTGCAGGCATAGTATCGTAAAATAAAAGGTTTTACTACACATTTATTATTAGAAGTATTTCAACAACCATGCTCTACCACTGTACTACTTGATGTAACAGCATTACTAGGGGCCTTTATATTTTGGATGCCGACCCCTACAATAGTCGTCGCTATAAATGTTAGCTGTGGTATTGAATATTTGGTGTGCCTATACGGCTGGCTAAATATCGTGCTCAGGCATTTTTTATGCAAATTTATCTGTCGGGTTCGGCAGCTAGAGAACTGACTGGTCTATCGAGTTTTAGTCGATTCTATCACGAATGGTGTCCTCAAGTTGGGAACATCTTTCTATCTTGCACACCTTTTAAGGTACCAACAAGAAAAAGACTCGAGAATTATTATTACACGTCACGGTTTTTAAAATTGTTGACTGCAGAGTCTACTTGGCACCTCAAACTTCACCGCAAGTAATAATTTGCATGTGCTTAGGTACTTACAACTTTCTTCTAATTCATTATGTTACTTGTCATTATTTTATAAAAAGATCAGTGGTAAGGTTAAAAATTACATCACGGCGAATTTTAATTCATTTATTAATTGGTGTTCTTTTATTCCGTTGAATTGTCTAATCAAAAACCTAAAATTGTGCCTGTTCAATCCAATTTGGTTTTATATACAAACATTCCTCAATGATGACTAGTTAATCACATGTTCAGTTATATTTTAATAACGAATACGTAACAACCTAACTAATTTCAATATGAATTACGTATGCCGGAAGTGGTGGGTTTTTAGGATACTTTGCCTGACAAGTACCTTTTACCTATATCAACCTACATAACTACATGGGTACATTCATAACGCATAAATATGTACCTACATCAGTAATGTTCGCACAATTACCTATCTATCGATCGAAATATTGAATCAATTTCGTTTTATAAATGCACTGTCATCATAATCTCCAAAATTTGCGCTGTACGCTAACGTATCCAAGGTGGCGCGGCGTGTTGCGTCCTTGCCGATTTTTTGCAATAGCATACGTCAAAAGCAAGGCCACCTGTTCTTGCCTTTACCCAAATAATAATGCACTTAGATTATTACCACTACTACCTAGAGACTAACTAAATGTGTATACACTCGTGGCGAGTTGAGAACCGAACTTAGGGATGTAATTATCAAAGGGTGGCATTGAAAAACGCAACGTGGTATAGGAAAATTCGTAAAAATACCTTGAGCCATCTTTTCAATAAGTAATAAAAAGTCAAAAAAAGCTTTAAATAGCTTTTGAAGGGTGTAACGCTTTGACAGTTCGGTTAGTTTAGGACAATTTTACAGAAGCAGGGGATATCTTTAGATAGATGTCGTGCAACATAAAAAGGACAAATGCCAATAAAGAAATGGTAATTCATACGCTTTTGCCTTACCTGTATAACTCAATATATAAACTACATAGCGTTGTTGAGACGCTGTGCTGTACCACTTCTTTATTTTGTTTGGCAAGGCAATTGGACCATGGCCACCGTTCCCCAAAAATCGTTTTACTAATGTCGTCTCTATATTATAATCCGAATATTGCATTATAAACTCTAAGTACATGTCTGTATATAACAAATTAAACGTATATACGTAAAATTATATATATATATATATGTATACACAAGTAAATCATTCACGTAGTAAGGATTCTTTCTAATGTTTATTTACGTTCGATCGCATTTGTCCTTACTTTTACTCGATTGGCAAAGAAGTCCAGATTACGATTTATTTCGACATTTTTCAGTCAAATATTTTAATTAAACTGTTCATTCAATTACGGCTACAAAAAAAAGATAAACAAGTGTAATAGTAATAGGTTATAAACAATTTTTTAATAACAAACTTTTGTAGCGTGAAAAAGCCAATGTAACAAATAGGGGATAATGTGTGCGAGAAGGTCTTGATTTTAATATTACATTAATTTTGGGTAATATCAGGAACAATTTTTAACTTTGTATCCTTAAGGTTATATCAGGCTCACAAAATGTATTATCTGGACTAGACATGTACCGGATGGCGGCCGGTTAACCAGGTGCCCGGCAAAACCATTTCGTTCTGTCTGAATTTTCATTAAATACCACCCTTAGTGTTTATGTATGTGGGTATCCGGCTTCATTATCCGGTACACGGCCGGATCCTCAAACAAGTGCCGGTTACCCGGTCCATCTCTAATCTGGATTTGTGCGAACGGTGCTCGAATAGTATTTGAATATATGAAACGAATTATTTAGAAATGCTCTGAATATCTGCTTGAATTTTTGTTAATTGTAGTTAATAATATATTATTCAGCAAACATTCATTATTTGGTTAATTATATTAAAATGAAATTGAGTGATCCATGTTTTAAAAAAATAAGTGCCTATCAAAAAACCATTTACAAAAAAATTATTTTATAATCACATTCAGTCACAATGAAGACTGTTCAATTTTAAAAGCGTTAAACAATAAGGCAATAATGATTGATTAACGTGCAGTAGCAGTCGCATTAATTAATATATTCAGAGAATTAGTTAATCACTGTTATAATATTATATTTTTCGTTTTTTCCTACATCGGACAGAAAGTGCAAATTATCGGTAAACTACTAATCTAAACCTAGAATTGTTCGAGCCTAACCTAAAACGTCGATTAAAAATATTTTTTTATTAGGGATATGATACTTTTGTGATATTTATTTTTTATTTTGTTTCAGGTGACGTCGCCGCCAAAAATAATGCACTGCCACTCTAGTTACCACCAAACCCTCGCTCTTTATTGGAGTGCCCCAAGACTGACAATTGTTGATTTTATACTAATTATTGACTACTTGTTATGTTAACTTATGCTAGATTAAGTTCCTTAGGAAGGCTATATACTATGCGTGTTCGCTTATCCTAATTATTTTGTACATATATAACTGATTATTTTTTTTTCGTAATATAAATCGTATTTTTTTAATTTTTTCTTGTTTTTATTTACTACAGTAATGTTGATACACTTACGAATTATCATTTATACCCACCTACTTTTTTCCATAAAGTACACACAATCATCACAAAACACTTATTATTATGGCAAAAGGAGACCAGAGTTTAATAAAATTTGTAGGAGGACGGTTATCAAATGCCGTTTAGTTCTATGTACCTTTACTTACGTATTTATATGGGGCATATACATAACACGTAGAATATCACTTAATAATGTGCTACAAAACTATTTACTTCGCTGAAATTTTACCTACTATGATATTTAGATAAGCCGTAGAATTTAGAGAAGCTTATACTGTGTTACGTTAAAATATAAATAAAGTATATTTCATGTTAGAACAATAAATTAGAAAAGCATATATTCTCCTTTTATTATCCGCGTTAAATGAATTAAATGAATCCAAAAATAAAGTTTGATTCAATAAACATCTTATTAAAAATGAAACAAGTAAAAATAGTATTACTTTATATTCGTATAGATTTTCAAAAACTGTCTTTAATGGAAGTCAATTATTATTATTTAATGTCAAAAGTTGATTGATTGATTGCACTCCATTTGAGGTATTCGCGATAAACGTATATGTAATTAATTGACCGCTTAATTTCATTATATCTTTATTCACGAAAATTTAATGAAAGTATAAATATAATTTGGGTTAACTATTTTAATTTAAATCAATACGTAAGTTGACATTTCGGAAAATTGACGCAAAAGAAATGTTCATATTTAAATTGGTACATATTCTGAATACCTTAAGTATAAGCATAATACAGCTAAAATGTGGAAATTGATTGATATGTATTTATCCAACGCGGTAATAATCCAACCAATCATCACATCATTCGAGATAAGAAATTCAACTGCAACCAGCAAATCTGTTATTTAATTGATCAAGAGTCTACGAGGGAAAATTAAGATAAATATGAAACAGGAATTGCTTGTGTTAATTATGACATATACGCATGGTAATTGAAATTAGATTTCAATTCTAATTAGTCGGGTTCTTATTTACTAATAAAAGATACTGAGACGTACTTCCGGAAATCACTATACAAGCAAGTTTTAGTAACGAAATTTATCTTATGAGATTCTGTAGGTGAAATGAAAAAACTAAACCTCTATGTACCTATAGGATCACTATCATATCGTCCATTTTTCTGTCAACTTCTTCGGACACGCCTATAGTGATAACGAGTCGTACTTCATGCCAAATATCATATAAAAAAATCAACTTTCTAACTTAATGCAGTAAAAAGATACAGCTTTGTTATAAGCACCAGGAACATCATTGCATATACGGTAGATTTGGCAGAAACCTGGGCTTAGTATCAATTTATATCTGGAAAATTAAAATTTTCACATAACATATATCGCGGAAGTACTGCGTGATGTGATGGCAAGCAATGGCCACCCCTCCTTCTTTATCCACCCACTGGTAAATTTATTGTAGTTATAAGACGAAAGAGAAATGCAAGTCAAAAATTACACATCGGAAACCATTGAATTAGCTGAGACTGTGGGGATATCGAAAAAAGGAATGCGAAATATCTTGTACAAAGAATTAGGAATGAAAAAGCTCTGCCCAAGATGGTGCTATATTTGCTGAACGCCGATCGAAAGCAAATGCGTAAGCAACATTTGGATCTATTCAATAGCGGTCCGATCGATTTTGTGCAGCGATTTGTTACCATGGATGAGATATTATTCTATCACTACAAGTCAGAAACAAGTAGTGGGTGGAGGCCAATGTTTCTGTGCCAAAGAAAGCGATATCGATCGCATCTACGGGAAAGGTTATGGGTAGCGTTTTTCGGGATGCAAAAGGGATCCTGTTAATTGATTACATTGAAAGAGGCAGAACAATTACAGTCGATGGGAAAACTGCGGAATTTGGAGTTGAGCGTTTCGCGTCAATGAAGAAGTTGAGAGGGCCGTAGATGAATATTTTCACAGCTTTCTAGAGAATTGCTAATGTTGAAGAAATGCTGGACCAAGTGTAATAAAGTCAAGGGAGATTATCTGGAAAAGTAAAATAATTTTTTGACTGAAAATTGCTGTCATTCATTCTTAGACGGAGAACTTTTCACCTCATCCTTAAATATCAAACGTAAATATCTAGAATTAAATTGTAATTTATAAAAATATCCCACTTTCTACAACAGGCTTAAACGCTTAATGATGTTTAGTTAATGGTACGTTAGGTAATTCTCATATTTTGCATATGTTTGCATTCCTATCGATATGATCCCACTGTAGATATAGGAGAACACAATAATACCTATTATTATTTGTCAAACTAGGGGAAGGGGACCAAACATGATATTGCGCCGGGTGAGGGGAGGTTTGCCACTAGCTGCCATACCATGAAAAAAATTATTATTTTTCTCGTCACGTTAACCATCAAGTTTGCATATTCATAAAAAGGTGAAAGTAGCATCAAGAGAAAAAGTAGGACATTCTCTCTCGGACGTGAATTGTCACTTAAGGTGATGGAGAGGGCGGAAAACTCCCAGAGGGGATGCCGTAAATTCTTCTCGAGGCTCGTATACTATGTTCTATGATAACATTTTCCTATTTCAATGACTAATAAAGCGCAGCATAACCTCTCAGGTAAGAAATCACATTTACTGTCTATCAGAAGAGCATTTTAACCACGGGATTTGAACTTCATAAACCTCCTCTCATAACTGTGCCATTACGTATGAAAATATATATAAATAATGTTGAATCCACAAAAATCATTATCCAAACATTACCTTAGTTGTAACCTGTAATACGATTCTACAGGTAACTTGCAACTTTCCTTATGAAGCTATTAAGAAAAAGTAATACGGCCATCCATCAGGCTTATGACTAAAAGATTAAAATAAAACTATTGTCAGATTGCATAAAGACACCTATCTCGAATAAAAACTGCACTACTTGGTGCAACAGACTTGACTTTATTAGGTATTATGTTGTCATTAAACTTTTTTCTTTTGTGTTTTACTCTATATTATCCTTCTTATCAAAACCGAAATACGTACGTAACAGTTAGAAACGAAAAGTAGAGAATTTGTTTCACTTTTCAGGATAAATAAACGAATTGTTTGGCAACAATGCTCAATCTTTTTACGGATAACTCGATTTCTTTGCGTTCATGTAGCATGTAGGTATATAATGGCAGCAATACCTCGCGGACTAGCAGATAAGAACAACATTTTCTTATTTAGATACTGCCACATCAAATAGCCCTTTTATTGGACTCGTCTTTAACCCATATGGAGAATGTGTATCAAATTTGGCTCGAATCCAAATTAGTAGATGCTCTACCAGACTGCTATCAAATAACAAATATGGCTCGGCATGCAGCTTGCCATTGGAGTTCGATAGCGATGGTAACTCTCTTCGACTTATACATAATATATTATTATTCGTATATGTGTAGACTTTCTGTAGTTTTACATGTAAACGAGCACATGTGTTCCTTTTATATCTTCATTTAAAGGGTTGCTGATTGATATTTAAAAGGACCAGGATTAATAAATGAAGATACATTCCCGATTATTTTGATTAAAAGAAAAACGAATTCGTTTTTTGTTAAGTAATTTTTTGTAATTTAAAATTATATTTAGAAGAAGTTTTTAAATAGCAATGATGCACTAATGCAGTGGTTTCCAACCTGTGGGGCGCGCGAGACTGTTGCAAGGGTGGCATGCAGCTGTTTCAAAAATATCATTTTCGAATACAAACCAAAAAAGTCGAATAGGTGTTAAAAAATGAATCAGGAAAATAGGTATACGTATAGGTATATAGGTATACGTAATCCACAATTAGAGAAGAAATTAGAGCATCCAACTATCTGTGAACAATAACCTAATCTAGGACTACCTATACCCCTCCTAACTCCCGTTTCTGCCTCTAATCTGCTCCTAACTAGACCTTCATGCCTGAGAAGATGTGCTACTAACATATCTCGCTTATTCTTTTTAACTTCNAGGTACAAAAAGGTTGGTAACCACTGCACTAATGTGTTCTATCAACTGCTACAGGTATAGTAACAAATCCAAATAAACTTTTAATCGTAAGTTATTTAGTATGTGTAAATTGCTGTTATGTATATTATTTTTATTAAATTAATTGTTGAAATAAAAATTAACTGAAGTGCTACTCGCTAAATAATGATCTGCTACATTAAATTTATTGTCTGCACACTCAATCGGTGTCTATTTACAAATAAGAATTTTATGATTCGCTGCGAACGCATATTGTTTATCTGGTTGCATAATTTTCGTTGTTTCAAATGATGCAACAGTAAGTAAATTGAAAAAGCTTTTACAATATATTGCGACACGCGTATTCAAAACAAAATAAATATAAAACAAATACTGAAATATAATTAAGTATCGACGTTAATTTTTATTTTTGAAAACTTTGTGTGGTTTGCAGTTCCCCAGCAGCTCTTACGTATATACCGTCGCTATTTATATAGATACCTAGAACACCAATTTTATTGATCAGTTGTTGAAGTCCGTAAACAGAATGATTTTAAAATTAAACTGGGTAGACAAGGACACACAAATGTTTAATAGATTATAAATATTAATAATAAACAACAAGACATCTGAATTAGTTTGCAAGATTCCATGGCAACATATTGTAATTTATAAGGTAAGTTTCCAAAAAATGAAGACCATGGCAGAACATGTTTTTTTTGTAATCCAAATTACTACCTACTGCTTAATTGAAATGGTATTAAATTGGTTTAAAGTGGCATTTGCTATATTTAATTCATTCATTTATGCATATTAGTCGTACTTATATTACACAGTATACTGTGACGAATTGGGCATCAACTTTACGGAGAAAACCAAATTTTTATGACAACGTTAAAATTAAATTTTGTAAATGACTGAATTTGCCGTAAAAATAGTAGAATTTATATTGCCAAAAAAAGAATGAAGTGGTAATAAGCATATTTCTTTGATCCA